TGTGTGTAGCGCGATGACATCACTCATGCTGAGGTTGGGAGGCACCATCTTCATTCTGTTGTAAGAAAGTGTATAATAGACGATAGCTGACCAAATTTACCACTGATGGACGTTGAGGACTAGTAACGACTTGGACTCACTCATAGGCAGATTTGGTTGACGATGTCAGAGTGGTGTAACCAATTATCTCCGACTGAAGTGTTGACCGAGAACGCGTTTGCCCAATGACCCTTGGTAGGATGAGGGAACACATGCATGTCTAACAGCTTTTGGGACTAAGTGTGTTTGTTCACCTGAAGACGGCTTTCAACTCGATGTATCGAGAGATCTGATTGCATTGTCTCTGTGTGTAAGGTGTGTGTAGTGAGTTAGTTACCTTATTTTGAACTGTGTATTCGTACATTTGTTGCGGTGTGTGATGGGGTCTCAGATAAGTTGTGTACATCGAGTGATGTCTGTCAACTGTGCTCTCTCTCTCCTTTCTAATTTAGGTTGGTATGGATTTGTTTATGAGGTGGTAGTGAGGATTTTTAGTTGAGTATGAGAATGATAACCATTTGTGAATGTGAGAGGTTTATTTTTTGACTTTTCATCAGCAGGTTAGGCGAGTTGATGAATATCTGCTCCACGTAGAGGTGTCTCTGTAGGTCCCATTTCCCTGCTTGTTGGCCTATACGATGATTTTCTTTGTCCCAGTAGCCTCGTTGGTTGTGTGGATGTCATTGTATAGTCCTGTTTGTGTGATGATGACTGTGCTAAGATACAGGGTTGTCTAGGTAGTTTGATCAACAAACTGAGTGTTTGATATTGTTTTGTCGTGAATCAAATGCAAGGTATTGCTTCATGACTGATTGGTTTGAGCTGTTGGATTTTGTGATAGTAAGCAATGAAGTGGTTGAAGGCGTTGACGATTTCAGTTGTTTAAGAAGTGGAATGAGTACTGGTGGGTCGACGACGAATAAAATCTCCACATGAATACGAGGGTTTTGTTTGGGTTTTTGCCCCTGTGATGCCATAGTGATATCCTTCCTCCTGTTAATAGGCAAGTGTACTGTGGAGAGTTTCTGTGTGCTGTACCATGTTTCTGTGAAGCGTTTCCGCTATAGGTGTATGCGGTGGATGAATATATGCTTCAGGTTTTCCAGATCACCGTTGCCTTCATAGCATGGGTTGTGTGTCGTGATGCCATCACATGCTTGTAGTTCAGGTCACATGAAACGTTTGAACAGAATAGAGAGGATAGTTTTCGGAATTATTAATTATTCGTCGACACAGATATCTGGGACATTTGTTGTGCATGCCTAGACGCCGTGTGCCCTGTTTCTCAGTGTCTGCTGATGTGAGTGTTTGTTAGGACGCTGCTATAGACGTTCAAACTTGGGCATAACAACAGTGCATGAAGTTCTTGATTATTCTATGAGTGGTGTGTTTGAGATTCAGTATTTGAAACCCGTATTTTACCCTGGTTCATTGTGAGGTATTTATTTCACCTACTTGAATGCTTCATATTTAAACACTTGTTAAACTTTCTTTTACACACTTATCTGTCACCCAATGTGTCCGCTAATGGCTTCTGATAGTATTCTGCCATTTTTTGCAT